TTTTGCATTAAAATCTCTCATTTATACCATATTTATATTATTTTACATCATCTCACCATAGGCTGCTAATAATGGAAGAGTATACATTTAGTGGCATCCCTTTCTGCAATTTTTCTTGGCTTTTGTGCCAAATGTGATTTGTAATGTGCAGAAAGATCCATCACTGTAGGCAAGACTGTGCTAGGCTTTGAGTGTGCACCAAAAATAGCACTGGGTATATTTTTATCTTCAGTTAAATATTTAATCTTTTCAAACAATTTTCTGCATATTGTGTTAACTGTTAATGGCTGTTGGGGGTTAGGAGGCAGTACTTTTCATTTTTGATGCTTTTGGTTTTCCCATATTGACTCAAAAGTTTTACAGTATTTTTCTTAGTTAATTTTTGATTCATGCAAATGTATTTTCAACTTAGAATAAGAATGCATTTCCACCATTACCACACAAACAATCTTCAGAAGGAAAGGTTTTTTTCCTATGGTCTTCCATCAGTCATTTATGCATTCTCAGTGATGTCTTGAACCATCTATTTTTTTTTTTAAAAAATGCTGATGTCTTTTAAAATCTAATGCTTCATAAAAATTTATAAACAGCCCAGTTGATATGCATCTTACTGTGTATTATGACATCCTCTGCCCTGTGGCACAGCAAAAGCCTGCAGCTGTCTAAAGCTTAATTATGTATGAATGCAAAGCCCAGATGCTTGGCCAATAGTGCCTCAACAGAGGACAGTTTCTCACTTGTTTCTGTCTGAATTATAATCAAGTAGATTTATAATTCTAAGCTTGTGTTCTCGCTTCCCTGCAGTATCTGCTTCTCCCTCTTGTCTTAGTATGAATGAAATTCTGAAAAACACTGTTTAAATTAAAGAAAACAAAGGAAAACAAAACAAAACAAAAATCTACATCCTGTACTGTCCAACAGATCTGGTCGGGGGTCATTAATAGTTCTGAAAATCTCTTTGCTTTAAGACAATATTTTTTAACGTACAAGGATGAGCTCCCTCCACTAAAAGCTGTGTTCCAGATTGTTTTGGTTTTTTAAAAACAACAACAACAAGCAGTTCAATGGAAACTGGCATCTGGGTTGAAATAAAAAAGGCTTACAGTCTGACTTCTAAATAACAGAGTGTCATCAGGTAATAAAGTATTACACCTGCTGAAAACAGGTAACAGAGGCAGTAAAAGAGCATTTGTGGCTAAAACTGCCTTTTATTCAAACTCTCTTGTCAACAACAGATGTGTGGAGATTCCACAAGGTCAACAAGGAATGTTGCAAAGCAGCACTGAAATGCCTGGAATTACAAATTTAACCCAAAAAAATTATTTTCCTATTTGATAGTCCTATGGCATAAACCAGGGGTAGGCAACCTGTCCCCTTTAAGGGCCGAGGGACTTCAGCTCCCAGAATCCCAGGAGCTATTGGCCAACATGGGACTATTGGCCAACATGACTGAGGCTTCTGGGAGCTGAAGTCCCTGGGTCCTTAAAGGGGAAAGGTTGCCTACCCCTGGCATAAACTATACCCTGAACAAGAGGTTACTGTCAGAAACAGAAGAGTTTCCAGTTGGCAAAACAGTCAGGGCCTTTACAGACTGCCAGAAATAAGGCAGCTTGAGGCCACTTTGGGCCTCTACAGACAGCGCTTTGTGCCATCTTGGAGGCAGGGAAGGGGAGGGGCAGCCAGGCGCCAAACACCCCAACCCTTTCCTGAGGACGTCATTGGAGAGCCCACCACTGCACACGGTGAGTGCTCTGATGACATCTTTCCGGCACCGCGTCCAGACACACTGCGATGGAAGAGAAATGGAAGAGGCGATTGCTGCCTCTTCCGGCACCCTTTCTGCACCTTGAGGAAGGAGTGCTATTTTAGCACTCCTTCCTGGACCAGCAGAAGAATGGATTGGGGCCGAGGCGTGGGGCAATCTCAATCCACCGCTTCTCAGGGTAGCCCATGGCCGCCCATCTTTATCCCACCTTTAACTGTCCTAGCTCAGTGCTAGGGAAGCATGGGAATTGTTTTTTTTTTCCTGGGATTTTGAGCCTTCTTTGTCAGAGAGCTGTGGTGCCACAATAAACTACAGCTCCTGTGATTCCTTAGCACTGAGCCAGGTCAGTTAAAGTGACCTCAAGCTGCATTATTTCTGGCAGTCTGTAAAGGCACTCAGACAGGGCTGCATTTTATCCCTTTATCTATTTTAAAGCAGAACATACCATATGAAAAGCAGTATTAGACTCAGAGGCAGGAATTTGGGGAAGGAACATCAACAATTTAAGATGTTCAGGAGACACCGTCATAGAACACTAATGGCAATATGACTCTCAGTGGCAGCTAGTGTCTTCCATGTCAACAGGGCTCCAAATCTTAGTCCAGAATGTTCCAAGGTATTGAGTTGTATCCTCACAACTTGTTTAGCATCCCAGGCAGCTCTTCTAAAATTTAGACTACAGCCTGGAGAAGATTCCCCAATCCAATAACAAAAAACAGATGTCAATCAGTACTAATGATCACGATCAACAATAAAATGGTCTGCATGAGTTTATTTTGTCATGAAGAAATATGTGATAGTCTTAAGATTTAGACAGAAGGCCATAATATATGTTGGCTAGGCTACTCGAAAAAGCATTTTAGAACTTTTTCACAAACAGCTATAACTGAATTGGGATGTCTCCACACTGTACAATTATAGCATCATTTTTTGTTGTATGGTAAGTAGTATATATCCCTATAACTATTCTGCCTCCATCCTATAGAATCCTGGGATTTTCAGTTTGAAAGGTGCTTTGCTCAAAAGTTCTAGTCCATGCTGCTAAACTAAGGCCCTCTGCAGATGGGCAGCCATGGGCCACCCCGAGAAGTGGAGGATTGGGGCTGCTGCTAACACACACAGTGGCCCCAATCCACCCTTCTGCCAGCTCTGGACAGAGCGCTAAAATGCTGCTCCTTCCAGAGAGGGCAAAAGGGGCGCCTGAAGAGACGCCACACGTTTCTTCCATGTCTCTTCTGGCGCAGCATGTCCAGATGCTGCGCCGGGAGGATGCCATCAGAGCACTCACCATGTGCAATGGCACGCACTCTGATGATGTCCTCGGAAAGGGGTTGGGGGTTCAGCATGTGGCTGCCCCTCCCCTCCCCTTCCCTGCCTCCAAGACGGTGCAAAGCCTACAGCACAAGACCTCTCTAGCAGATTATTCTAAGCCCCTCACCAAACTATAGATTGTATGAATCTGTAAGACTGAGCCATGCTATTAAAGTAATATCAAACTGCTATAACTGAAGTGTGGCTAGACCCTTATATATAGGAGAATATCAGTTACATAGAAGAGATTATTTGTGTTTACTGCTCATTGCCTTCTAAACAGACTGGTGAGGAAAAGAATCATGGTGGGCTTCCTCCAGACTTTGTGCAGGCAAAAAAGTGCTCATCACTCATCAGAAAAAGGAACCACCCAAGACACTTGATTAATGTATTTCCCCAAGGTATGAAATGCAACATATTCCTATTTCAATTATAGCAATGCTTCCTAAGTTTACACATACAAATAAACAAATGGAAATTTCATGCAGATTTTTTGTCCTCTTTTTAGAGACACATTTCCTCTTTCAGGGAGATGTATCAGAGACCATCCTAATCCTGCAGAAAAGGCATTTACTAATCATATGTATCAAATAATAAAAGTGGATAAGTGCATATAGTTGTGAATTCAAAGGGATGAAGAGTCAATTCTTTCTCCATCTTTTTTCTTCTTTTTTACAGAAAAAATTATTGCATAGCACAACAGCCTGATGGCTGGTAAGTGCTTCTTTATACCTGCAGGTATTTCTTAATATATACTTTAATGGAGCATAAGGAAATCCATTTTGTGTTTCTAATGTATTCCCTGCTGGCCCTGGTATACCATTCAGCTTTTTATCTTACAGGAGATTTATGAATAACAAAAGCAGAGGGTGGAGAGAAGAATCTCCAGCACAATAGATAAGTGTTATTTTTCCACTGTGTTTGATGGAAAGATAATTGGGTGAGTTGAGGACAACTTCTTGCCCTCTTAAAATTTGAGGCCTGGCTTGGCAAGATGATGCTTTTATGTTTGCCACTGAAAAGGACTGCAATGTATTTTCACATCAGTGTCAGCAACAACCGAAGCAAGCTGATACAGCTAATGTTATGCTTGTCAAACACAAACAAATTTGTTTTCAAGAGAGGGTAAGTACAAAGGTTCTTGTCTGCTGAAATGAGCACATTAAGTTTGACCCCTTTCTGGGGACGCCTGTATGCTTGTTCAAGAAAGTGCTCAAGATATATAATTAATATTAGCTAACATGAAGTAAGGTTAATTGTTGCTCCTCTAAACACTTAATCTGCACACAGTTGATAAATCCCACAATGAATCAAAAGTGGCTCATATTTAGGTCACACAAAGTCATTGCCTTTTACTTTTTTCAAAGCAAAAACAAAACAAAATAACTGGTGAGCTAGACTGCAAAATGAGAGCATATCTGTAGATATCCAGAGAAGTATCTAAAATAGAAATAGGATGTCTCTTGGTACAAGGAAGAAAAGAAGTCTGCAAATCACAATCTCCTCAAAGACAAA